GAGGCACATTCAAGCCAGCCAGCCTTTGGCGTGACTTATTTATAAGGATAAATCATAAAAAGAATGTCTTGGGATATTTATAATTAGGTATATTTTCATTACAACTCTATCCATGTATGAGAGACATATATGACTTGCATATAATTTATCACCTTCTAGCATACTACATCATATGCTTTAGAACGTTTATTAATTATTGTTTTCTTTCCCTACAAGAAAATGAGCTCTCTTCATTAAAGGCAATAGATTTTTGAGTTTTTAAATATAATATTCCTTATATTATCAAATAGTTATTAATTTCCACAATATCTCAATCTTAATGTATCCATTTCAAATACATTACAATTATAAAGTCTCCATGTTCCACAAATAATGAATATTAAAGGTAGAATGTATAGGTGTAAAAACATCAGAAAAACAACCTACTTAAATATCCCATCTATTTTCTTTCTGCTCCTTTTAAATTATCACATCCTAATTTCTGGACTGAGAGCTTACTAGGGTAAAGTAAAACAGAGAGAGACTCACAAACTTTGTAATAGATTTGTATTACTGTTTTCAATTCTTTTGTACTTTTTGTTTCTGTTTTTTTCAATGAGACCATAGGTGATTGACTTCCAGGGAATATATTATTTCACAGGTAAATTTTAAGTATGTAGATCAGTGTCCGACACACAAGTGCCGAATAACTAATTGTTGAGTAATTTAAGATGTTTTGACTATGCAAAGTCTGAATATTTTCTGTACTTGAACAGTTTTTTAGGAAACATGTGGCCATATCTTCTAAATTCTTAGCACTGAACTTACTTAATCTTTCTACTTGGTCACTTAAGTTGAATATTGGCTTGTCTAAGTCAAAGCATTCAAAACACTTTTATGTGGAGAATTGCTCAATTTTACATCGCTTTTGCTTGTATTGTGTACTTATATATTTCTATATAATGTATAATGAACAATGACAAAATTGGAGTAATATTTCTGGGCTCTTATTTTAGAATATGCACATTTAAAATTTGTCATTATAAGCTGTAGAGAGGGAAAACATTATTTGCATATACAGTACATATATATAGTTAATTTATTTGCTCTGCCTACCACTGAAATACATGTATTGATAACTAGCATTAATAAACTTTAAAATCATAAATGTAAGTGGAAGATCTTGAACAGAAAACAACTTCCTTTTCTTTATGCAATTGGTTCTTCTTAAATCATCGCATTCTTACATTTCCTTAATTTTTTTTTTTTGATCAGTCACTGGCAGCCCAAGGGCACTCATGTCAGAGGGGAGAGAGAAGATGATACTGAATGGCATGTATATGGAGAGGGAGTGCCTACCTTGACCTGCAAGGTGGGTCATTAGCATCCCTCATCATTTCTTCCTTGTCTACTTGCAAATCTCATGATCTCATGATACTTATGATTCTCCTTATTTACCAAAGTTTTATATTTTCTAACATTTTAGAAATTTACTCGTCTCTCCTCTTTGATTAAGACATAATTCCTTCTGTAATCTCCATGATCCTGGTAAAATATTAGAAGAAAATTATAAAGTTAGTTACACATATGATTATCTTACAATAAAATTAGTTTATCTTTAAAATCAGCCCATTTAAAAATGTATCAGTCACATGAACTCAGTAAGCATTCATTACTTACATGCCTGTACATGTACAAAAGTCCCTAAATCTGTCTCTGCTTTTAGGGAATTCATGGTTTTAGTAGAAATGCATGATATGTTTAACTTTCACAAGAGCAATATTAATTTTGATGACAATTCATATATTGCATTGCATTGGTTTTCATAGTATGTTTGCAACACCTAAGAGGCTTCCATGGGTAGTGAGGCATAGATTTCATTTTATACCACACCCCATGTTGCATGTTTCAAGCCAGCAATTCATTACCCAAACATCCAAGAGTAAATTGGTTGGTGCCTCCACACCTGTGCATGTACTATAATCTCTGTGCACAATGCTCTACCCTTCTTGCACAATTCTTTTCATTCTTTAAAAGTCAGTTTTTCAGTGTACACTAGGTTATCCCCCTCTTAATCAATTCCTGTAGTTTTTAAAGTTAAATCTCTATTTTGTGTCATGTAGTACTCTTCCCTTTGTTTATGTCCATCTCCTTTATCAATCTCTGAGCTCTCACATGTTGAAGTTAAGAATTACTTTTAAATGAGACCACAAGGAAGGAGCTCAATAGACAAAATCAAATTAAATTACTCAAAACCAAACAGTGCTTTGCCTTTTTAAATAAATGAGAGTGAAATAAACCATTTTTAGTATCTTGGGTTTATTATTGTGGTTTGTAAGCAACTGTAGTAAATTGCAATTTAAGTGTTTGTCTCTGTTTGCCTTTATTTTAGGTCATCTCTTTTAATTTTTTTTGACATTTCCTCTTCCTGCATGTCATTCTGTCAAACTTTTTTTTCTGGTATCAGTGCACCTACTTTTAACAACCCCGGTGTTCTCTACTCATTCCATCAAATGATCACATTACAGGGCCAGGGATGTAGCTCCGCACCACCCGCCTGGCAGGTACAAGGCCCTGAGTTCAATTCCCAGAACAAGAAAAAAAGAAAAAAAGATCACATTACAATTTCTGGGCTGGGAATATAGATATCTGAGTTTATGGGACTCATGTAAGCAGACGGTCTGTGAAAGTCCTACAAACTGGTCAAGCTTAGATCACTAAGGGTATAGTAGTTTTGTATTAGTGCTTCCAAGCCTGTTTTCACTTGTTTTTGTTTACAGCTAGGTGGTTGAGAGAACTGGAACTCTAACATTTAAGTGAGATCTTTTTTCTGACTTTAATGCTACTCATTTCACTTTTATTACTCAGTTACATAAAATAAGGAATCTATTTTAATGCTTAACAGATACATTCTTTGAAATCGATAAACTAACATTTAGATATTTACAAATTAAAATACTGATAGAGGAAAAATTCTTCTTGTAGAATGCTCACATAATTTTAAATTTTTTATTATAATTTTGGATTATCAAGATTTTAGAACCTACTTTCATCCTTTTGAAAAACTATGTAATGGTAACAGTCAACTTTTGTTAACAGTTTGTGTTCATCATGCAAGAGCTAAACACATGATTCAGCTCATTCCTTACAATCTTAAAGGCAAATATTCACTATGTTACAGGGGAAAAACTAAATTTAGAAATTAAAACATTTCACGAGTTAAACATTGGCAATAGGAGCTATATATTAATCAGTCATGGAAAGTTCATTTTCTAAATATTTTCAGCTCTGTAGTTATGGCTTGGCTACTATTTACTTTTTTGTAACATCTTTTTTGTTGATATACAATTCATATAACATACAAATCACCTTCTAGTAGTCATCTATCCACAGTATCTCCTTCTAACCATTCCAGTGCCTCAGCCCAAGGCAATTACTAATCTACTTTGTGTCTTTATAGTGTTACCTCTTCTGGACATTCCATATAAATGGAATTTATCATTTGTGGTCTGTTGTGTTTAGTTTTTTTCATATGACATATTTGTTTTCAGGTTCATTGTGTTGTGCTATCTACCAATATTTACAAAAACATTTACTTATAATTTTGGTAGGAAGGTGGCTCAGAGGAAAAAACACTACAAGTTTTGAAATCTACGGTCTACTTTGAGCTTCAGTAGTAATTCTACATTCACTAAAGGAGATCTGACAACATTTCTTTTAACAGTCAATAATCTTTTTTTTTTTTTTTTTTGGTCTTCTTCAGGGCCTAAGAGTGGGTCCTGAAGCGATAGAAACATTTGGTCATTACAACTATAAATTCTATACCTGAACTAGGAAATGCACTCAGCATTTAATTCATCTTAATCTTCACATTTTTTATAAACTTAATTTACTCTAAAAATTTGAGAACTTAAAATATTTATGGGTATATTGCTTCTCTTTGGAGTAGAGGTATTCTTCATCATACCAAGTGATAGAAATTAATGAATTTTAAAATAATCTGAACATTCTAGGTTGTCAGAAGGAAATATTTTCACTTCTGCCAATTTTTATGTCTGTCCAGAAATGGATAGCTCCTAAAATTCTGTCCGCTCACCACAATTTAAAATTATTTTACTTACCTTTAAACATACGGACATTTAGGGAGGATTTGTGAAAACTGTAATTGATCGTTTTGTTAAGGTTGAAATTAGAAGAAAAAATCCTATTTCCTCTGTCAACTCTCTTGAGTAAACAAAGTCTTGGCTTTGATTTTTTTATAAAGCTGAGGGGTCAAAAAGTATAATAATTCGTAAACAATTTGCTTATCTACTAGTGAAAACTGTAAACTATTTTGTGAACGGTGAAATGACATAAAAATACTGTAGTTTCAGAAGTTGTCTTTACAAATTCCAAATCTGGCGAAAGTTCCCTACACGTGGGAAAACTCACAACCAAGACAGTGATCCTGCTTTGCCAGTCCCTAAATAACTGCGGAGAATATCCGTGGGTGACGCTCAGTGGTTTCCCTGGAAATCGCAGCCTGCATAAGCACGTCAACTGTGCGCGCCGCAGTCAGAGCCTGTGCGCGCCAGGATCCTCAGGGTGTCATCTGCGCCTGCGCGGGGGGCGGGGGGGGAATCCCGGATGGAGGACGCCGGTGACACGCCGTTGTCATGGTAGCACCGGGGTTTCCTTTGCCTCCGGGTCAGAGCTTAGAAAGACAAGGGGAGAAGAGCTCCCCCGGCCATCTCTGTGACCCCAGCCGTCGCATCTTACACAGGCAGGAGGGGGCCTAGAGGGAGAGAAGGGAAGGATGTTGCGGAAATGTTTGTGTGGGGAGAGGGTCGAGGGACGCGTGTCTGGTGTGAGGATCAGATCCAGGATCCACAGAGCCCAGTTTTCTCCTTTGCCCGCTGGGCTTCACTATGTATCTGGGAAACCCCTCCGAGGGCTGCATAGACGGTCCGAAATTTTATCATATTCTTTCCCCTCTCAAAGTTCTCGAACGTGAAAGGTAATAATTTAATGGGGGGGCGGTCACTCCGAAACATTTGCTTCCACCAGGAGGCTCTGGTAGTCATTTAGTCGACAGTACCTTGGAACACTAATACAAATGCACGTCAGCCAGTGCTTGTAAAATGTAGTTCATCGTCATGATTCGTGATGTTTAAAAATGATTGCATCAGGACGACTGGGCATGATGGTTTCAGGTTAGGGATTTTTGCTTAAGTGTTGTACTTTGTTTATGCGTAAGCACTTACGTCGAATGACATTTCACTTCAATGTTCTTTCAATTCTTGGTTTTTAGTTTAGAAGGCCATGCGGTAAGACTAGAGTCGATAAATTAGATTAAAATATTTTTGAATATTCTGACTATTGGATGAAAGTTATCAAAATTATGTATACATATGGACTTGGCTGTCACTCGCACCAAAAGATCAGCAGTCACCCACCCACACAGGATGTATCCCCACTTAGGAGGAAGAAATTAATTTCAGTCTCTTAACTACAGTTGCCTGTGAAGAGGGTGGATATGATCCGAGCCACTTGCCTAGATTTTTACTGATGATAAATGTTGGGATTTAAATGTGTGAAACTCCCTCCCAGTGGAAAGAAGGGTTAAGTAATTGGTTTAAGGGGTATTTTTGTTCTAGCATGGACAGTCCCCTGGGGATGAAGATTAAAAGACTTGAAGGAGTTGAATATCCTGTGACGCATTTGAAAAGGCTTAAGGGACTTGGTAATAAGAGTTTATGATTTATGTTTTTGTTTACTTGAGAACCAGTCATAAGGTTTTTTTTGAAGTTATAAAAATAGAATAACTTCATTTTTGATGCAGCTTCATTTACCCCCCTCAGAGTTACTTCAACAGTGTTTGTCTCTTAAATCATAACATAATGGTACCATTTAATAACATCTAATATGTTTAATTTGTGATCATATTTTTTATTATGTTGATTCTATGTTTTAGTTTTATACTTGGGTTTTCACCTGGGTGGGATTCTCTGTACATAATAAAGCATGTTTACCAAAGTCCTTAGGAAAGCATTTACTTATTAGCTTAGGACTATATTTATTATAAACAAGGTAAAACATTAAGGACCTCATTCTAATAGTACTTTAACTATTTGTTTTCCTTTTGTGGTATTGGGGATTGAACCCAGGGCCTTCACACTGAGCTGCATTTCCAGCCCTTTTTTATTTTCTATTTTGAGACAGAGTCTGATGTCACCAAGTTCCCCACTGGGTTCTAACTTACCATCCTCCTGCTTCAGTCTTACATATCTTAAAATAATAAATCTCAAGATCTTTGGTCTGAAAAGAAAATTTTGTATCCCAAAGCATTGTGAGTGTGCAAAATAGAATTGCTTATGTAAGTATTTTAGGTTACAATGAGTTTTAGTTTGTTATACGTCATTCATGGTGTGTTTATTTTTAACTGGTAGGTTGGCAGGCATATTGCCAAAGTGATTTAGCCTGCCTTGCAGCTAGGCAGTCGTAAGTAAACTCACTGTGAAATATCGATTTGGCTTCTCCAGGTTACCTCAAAGTAAGGTTGTCCTTGTTGGGAGAGATGTGCACACCTGTAATGCCAAGTGCTTGAGAGTCCAAGGCAAAAGGATCACAAGTCCAAGGCCAGCCTGGGCATCTTAGACCCTGGCTCAAAAAACCAAACCAAAACAACAACAACAAAAGGCCAGGATATAGCTTAGTGGTAAGCACTTGCCTACCAGGCACAACAACCTGGTGCAAAAAATTTTAAAAATAAAAGGATTATTGCCCTCATCCTCTAATTTAGAAACTAAATTAGAAGCATCACTTTTGAGTCTTTTAAGAGACCCATTTTGTGTTTTTAGTTTAAAAGAAATATCTGAGAGGAATTGTCATCCAACTATTTAGACATAATGACCCAGTTGGCTAATCAAGTTGAATAATTAATAATTTTTATTGAATTAATCACTTTTTATTCATTTTTAGTCACTCATATGTATTTTATTTCAAGTAGTTACATTTTAATTTTTTTAGCTTTGTCTTTTCTGGAAGACTACAATCCCCACTGCAAGAAGATAGGTCCATTTAAAAAATTCTTGCAGGAACATATATGGGAATATAATAAGTGTTCCTAAATGTTTACCGGAATTATACTATATATATGTATATATGCTAACAGACATATACAGATACATTGTAGTTAAAGATTTTTGTGCTTCATTTGTTTGAAAAGTTACCAGAACTAGAAATTGACCTCAATTTAAAGATAACATTAGCTTAGTTCTTTTTAAAATGACTGAATTTATGTACTATTTTAGCAAACATTTATTGTCTTTCATCTGACATTCCTATTTACCACTGTCTTCTTGATAATGGTAGGTATGAAAGGCTTTTTTCTTTAAGAAAAAGTATATTTAAGGTTGAACAACAATTCACTGTAGTTAAGAATCAGTCATTACTTATTAAAAGTTAGGAGATCACACATGATTACACTATACAAATTATGAGAAGGATTGGGAAACTGAAGATAGGAAATGGTATACTCATTTTTATTTGAATATTGCAAATGTAAGTAAACCTTAAAAAACTGAGTCATTTGCTCTGACTGGGTCAGAGTTTTAATAATTGGCAAGGGATGTGGGAAATCCTTTTCTAAGCCCACGTGGTCTTATTTGCCTTTTTAAGTTTCCTTGTAGTTGAGCACTTTGGGAGTTGGTGGAAGGGGTGGCAGGTTTGTCAGAAATGTCCACTTGTGGAAGTGTCTTGCCATTGTAAGTCTGTTTTAGGATGTATACAAATATATGCTTATTTTGAAAGTTACATGTTGTTTTTATGTGTTAATTACCTTCAATGTTAATCTCTGTTCTATCTGTAGCATGGATTTAATGTATAATTTATCTTTTAAAATCTTATAGGAATTATTCTTTAACAAACTGAAAATGAATGAAAATAAAGATACTGATTCAAAAGAAAGTGGAGAATATGAAGATGACTTTGAAAAGGACCTCGAGTGGTTAATTAATGAAAAAGAAATTGATCCCAGCAAAATAGAGGTATGTATGAATTGGCAATGGCATTTATAATGATTACATTAGGAAAGAGCTTTGCAGTATTGAAAGTTTTCACGCATGTTATCTCATCTAATCATAAAATTCTTTTGGTGTGCTTTGGACATTACTATCTTCCTCATCTTAGAGATGAGAATTGAGACATAGAGAGTTTAAATGTTGTATTCTAAGGCATGGGGCTTGTGTGAGAACAAGGATTAAATTAGCACTTAAAGCTAAAATGATAATTATAAAATTATGATCTAAGTAATATAAAGAAATAAAATAATGATTTATTGATCAAAAGTTTAAAATTACAGTAAATTCCTGTTGTCTTTGAACTTGAGTAAAATCATGGGGTAATGCTTTTAATATAAATGAAAAATAAAGCAAATTGTTGAAAAACAATCTTTTAGAAGATAATTGAAACTTTAAGATTGAATAAGTTCTTCAGAGGAATGAATGTACAGATAAAGTAAAAAGGTCAGTGACAGTAAACCTTAAGATACTTCTAGGAAAAAGAGATCCGTTAATAAAAAAAAAAATCCATTAATCATGTACATGGTCATTACTGTTTATCAGAGATGTATAAGGCCAGTCCAGGAAAATAAACCAATTCCTGAATTATGGTTAAGTTCTTTCTCTCTCTTTACATATACACAGTATGTACATATATTTTTATGTAACTATGTATTATATTACTGTCAACAAATGGGGCAATAATGAGAAAAGCTAAGATTGGAATATGAATAAGTGACCCTAGGAGGATAGTGATCAGCAGTTATAGAAGAGGACAAGTTTTTACAAACTTTTCTTATTTCCACCTTGCTTTTTTATGCAATACAGAAGATAAATGGGGTAGATACCATTTGAAAGAGGCAACAGACTCAAAAGTGAACATTTTTCTAAGATGGCTTTTAAAAGGAAGTTTTATGCTTCTTCACAGAAAATAAATCAGAATGAGTAGAGGCAGAGATACCCAGAGTGAAAGGCTGAGCCCAGATCTCATGATGGAAGTGGTATGAGATCCACAGTGCAGGGTGATAGAATCAGAGAGGCAATAATTGCCAAGCCAGATGGTGTATGGAGAGCCAGTGACCATGAATGGCAAAAAGAATTTACCCACAGACAAAGAATATAGGAAAGACATGAGTTCATTTAGATCACTGGGTATACTGTCAAGAGGAGCAATAAGCAAGATGGCAAGAGAAGATCGGCACACTCAGGGCATCCTGTTCCTTGTTAAATTTTCAGGAACACCTGTATTGTAACTAAACTTGCAAACTGTCCAAGTCTTGCTCAGGCTTCACAAAAGGCCCTCAGACTTAGATAAGGACATTTGCATTTTAACCTTTTGGGGAAAGATATACCATTAGCTGGGGGAGGAGAGATTGGTTTTTGTATTCACTTTTATCTTGTGCTGTGTTTAGTCCTCATTAGTGCAGTGCCTCATGACTGTCTGAGCAGAAGTGTGTTGTCAAAGAAGTTGGGGTGGTGACAATTTTAACCCTCTTGTCACCATAATAACAATGATTCTTCGTTTGACTTTTCAGTTCACTCAACAAATATAATGAGCTCCTCCTGTATGTCAGAGGCTGTTCTAGGTGCTGAGGATAGGATAGGGATCCAAAACAAAGTGCTTTCTTGAATCTTTTACATTCCAATGCATGATTATAATAACCACTTCCTTTGAAGCCAGAGAGCAAAAAAGATGACAGAGGTTGAAACAGGGAAGAGGGCCAGGGGAAGATTTTTTTGTAAAAGATCGGTTTTAAAAAGAAAACAGAAAGCCAAAGGAGAATTCATAGATGGATACTGTAGAAATGAACCAGAGAATCAAAGCTTTAAAAAAAACAGTGCAGAGATCTTAAATTGTAGCTATTTGGTAGTCATTTTAATGGGCCAAGTTTATTTGCTTATTCGACACTTGGATGTTTTGCAGATTAGGAAGTAAAGGCTGTCAGAAAAGTTGACCTAAGAGCAAATAAATGAGGAAAGCAATTTTGAGGAGTTGAAATGAGGAGCATATGGTAGCTCTTGTAGAACTGCATTGGGAAGAAAAGAATTGAAAAAGAGGAAAAAAATTTACATATTACAGGGGTAAAATGTTATGTAAATGCTGTTCTGTGTGTATGGGAGAGATGCTAGGAAGGAGCCTTTAGGCAGAATCAACAAATGTGGAGCAGAGTTTGTGATGCATAGGGTTTGTGGAATTAAATTTTTTTACATGTAAGGCTAAGTTATTTGACAGTGGTTAGTATGGCTTATTGAAGCCTCTGAGGATAGTTGAGGAAGGAAAAGCTGACTGAGAGGTAAAAATCGACCTGGAATTCCTTGCAGATGTTAGCAACAATACTAGTCTGAAATTTTTTTTTTTTTTTTTTGGTACTAGGGATTGAACTCAGGTCCTTGCGCTTGCGAAGCAGGCGGTGAAACCACTGAGCTAAATCCTCGGCCCCTGAAATAATTATTTTAATTTTTTTTTTTTTTTGAACAAGGGATCGAACTCAGCACCTTGTGCTTGGCGAGGCAGACGGTGGCACCCTGAGCTAAATCCCCGGCCCTCTTTTAATCATTGTTAACCTCAAATAATTAGGACTTGACCAAAAGACTTGACCTTGTAATGGTCTGAGGAGAGAGATGCAGTTTTGAAGAATGCAGATGTTACAAAGAGGAAACTTTTAGAACACTGCTCTTAAAATGTAAAGGGAGAGGGGCCGGCGATTTAGCTCAGTGGTTTTGTCACCTGCTGCGCAAGAGCAAAGACCTGAGTTCGATCCCCGGTACCAAAAAAAAAAAAATGTAAAGGGAGGAAAATTTAATAGGGAGAGATATTAAAATAATATTGTTATTTGTAGTTACTTTTTGATGCATCTGCACAAAGTTGTTCTTTAAAATATCAGTGTAGCATTTAGCAACATCAAAGTCATAGGTAGAGTTACATTTTCCCTGACTGTTGTCATATGTGTTACCCTTGGAGTGCTAATAAATATAAATCAGAATATTATGAGTCCAGTATGAGCAAGAAACATGTAAATATTTCCAACTGTAAATTAAACTACATGAATAGAAAAGTTCTACTTGCGGTTGTCTATATATTAAATGAACTGTCTCAATTTTGCTGACAAATAGAACCTTATTTTTTTTTAAGATGGCTTATGAGAAGGAAGAGAATATTAATCAGGAATTAAAAGAAAACAAAACAGAAATAGAACACATGAAACAGCTTTCTGATCTTGATAAATCTTTGAAGGATGAGGTTTCACCAAGAAGAAAGGACTTTATTTCTGTCCCAAGTATTC